CCAACTGTAGAGGGTTCCCCCAAAGCTGTGGCTATGGGTAGAAGAATTCCATCATGTTTTTCTTTCCTATAACTAAGAAGAGGGGGAAAAACAAATTCATATTTATGTAGCCTGGAAATGGTAATATATGTACGATGTATTTTACCCTTGAAATGCAAAAGTACTTTAGAAATTGGAAGGTACCCTACTGAAATTGACTGATGACTGATGAAAGGTCATAACATACTCGGTTCTCATATCGACTCTAAGGAAACCTCTAGCTGAAAATATATGAGAAATTTCTAACAAGAAGAAAATTTAAATACAAGCTTAAAGGGTTCCAACGTTTGGATTCTAAGGGCTTCCTGGATAGCTCAGCTGATAAACAATCCACTCGCAATGCAAAAGACCCCAGTTTGATTCCTGGGTCAGTAATTTGCCCTAGAAAAGGGACAGGTTACCCATTCCAGTATTCTTGGGGTTCCCTGGTGGTTCAGATGGTAAAGAATCTGCCTGCAATGCAGGAAACACTTGGGTTTGATCCCTGGGTCGGGAAGATTCCCCTGGAGGAGGGCATGGCAACTCATTCCAGTATTCTTGCCTGGAGAATCCCCATGGACAGAGGAACCATGGAATTTCTGATAGAAATGGTATAGGATTTCAAATAAACAAGAAAATCTTAATAGTGTTTCACTTAAATATTTTCAGTGAAATATGTCAGCATATGAAATATTTACAGTTTTATATTATTCACTTGTGTTTGTTGTTGTTCAGTTGCTAAGCCGTGTCTGACTCTTTGCCACCCCATGGACTGTAGACTGCCAGGCTCCTCTGTCCGTGGGGTTTCCCAGGCAAGAATACTGTGTGGGTTGCCATTTCCTTCTCCAGGGGATCTTCCTGATCCAGGGATCAAACATGTGTCTTCTACACTGGCAGGCGGATTCTATACCACTGAGTCACCAGGGAAGACCATATTGTTCACTACTTTACTTTATTTTCACGTTGTTTCACTTTTATCTTTATCTTTTTCTCCAGAAGCACTCTTACACATGCTAATTCATTAGTTTCAGTCTACTATCATCAGAAAGGCTGCTAAAATTTAAGATACAAAGAACATAAAAGCTTCCTGACTGAGTAAGAACACTATAAAATGAGGGTTGGATTCTAGTAACAGTTTTTGTCTGTTTTTTGTGTGTGACCTTTTGTGACCTTAAAGAAATCACTTTAGTCTTCATTTTCTCAACTGAAAATTAAAGGATTGAATCAAGTGCTCTCTAAACTTCCCTTCAGTCATCATCCTCTAAAACATTTATGATATCCCTGCAAAAATTAGCTAGATGTCCCTACAAAACTGTCCCAGCTCTTTATGCGGTGCGGTAACAGATGGCAGACGGTACAGGAAAATGTTTTGCATTCAGAGTCACTGCTTGGCTTCAGGAAAATAAAAACAATAAGCACTCACCTTTCAGACTGTACAATTTTTATCATTGAAAAACTGGACTAAATTTTAATTTAGCAATACCTATGAGGAAAATAAAAAGACTTCCCAATCAAACTAACCAGGTAAAGGATATTTATAGGAAAAAGACTTACCCAAGAAAATAAGGTAACACTATCAACTAGTTTAAAAATGTACATATAGTATTATTTTTTCTTTAAAGCTAATCTTTTTGTGAAAAGGCTTTTGATGACAAATTCAATTTAAAAGACATGAATTATTCAGATTTTTTATTTTCTCTATGTAATTTTTGGTATGTTGTCTTTTTTCAAGAATTTTTCCATTTCATCCTAGTCTTTGAATGTAATAGGCAAGAAGTTGCTCATATAATCTTTTATCTTGTCGCTGTCCACAGAATATATAGTGATTCTACTTTTTTCATTTTTAATATTGGTAATTTGTCTTTTATCTTAGTTTTGTTAGGAGTTTACAAATTCTATATTCTTAAAATTTAATATTTTCAAAGAACCAACTTTTGGCTTTGTTAATTTGGTTTACTGTTTCTGATTTCTATTTCATTGCTTTCTGTTTTTATCTCTATAATGAATGCTACACATGCATCTAAAAAAAATGTATATTCTACAGTGGTTGGCTATCAGTTCAGTCCAGTTCAGTTGCTCAGTCATGTCTGCCTCTTTGCGACTCCATGAACCGCAGCAGGCCAGGCCTCCCTGTCCATCACCAACTCCCGGAGTTTACTCAAACTCATGCCCATCGAGTCGGTGGTGCCATCCAACCATCTCATCCTCTGTCATCCCCTTCTGCTCCTGCCCACAATCCCTCCCAGCATCAGGGTCTTTTCCAATGAGTCAGCTCTTCTCATGAGGTGGCCAAAATATTGTAGTTTCAGCTTCAGCGTCAGTCCTTCCAATGAGCACCAAGGACTGATCTCCTTTAGGGTGAACTGGTTGGATNAAGTGATTTTGGAGCCCCCCAAAATAAAGTCTGTCACTGTTTCCTTTCTTTCCCCATCTATTTGCCATGAAGTGATGCGAGCAAATGTCATGATCTTTGTTTTCTGAATGTTGAGTTTTAAGCCAGCTTTTTCACTCTCCTCTTTCACTTTCATCAAGAGGCTCTTTCCCTCTTCACTTTCTGCCATAAGGGTGGTGTCATCTGCATATCTGAGGTTATTGATATTTCTCTCAGCAATCTTGATTCCTGCTTGCGCTTCATCCAGCCCAGTGTTTCTCATGATGTACTCTGCATATAAGTTAAATAAGCAGGGTGACAATATACAGCCTTGATGTACTCCTTTCCCGATTTGGAACCAGTCTGTTGTTCTATGCCCAGTTCTAACTGACCTGCATACAGATTTCTCATGAGGCAGGTCAGTGGCCTGGTATTCCCATCTCTTGAAGAATTTTCCAGTTTGTTTGGATCCACACAGTCAAAAGCTTTGGTGGTGTCAATAAAGCAGAAGTAGATGTTTTTCTGGAACTCTCTTGCTTTTTTGATGATCCAATGGATGTTCACAATTTGATCTCGGGTTCCTCTGCCTTTTCTAAATCCAGCTTGAACATCTGGAAGTTCATAGTTCACGTACTATTGAAGCCTGGCTTGGAGAATTTTGAGCATCACTTTGCTAGCATGTGAGATGCAGGCAGATTCTTTACCAGCTGAGCCACAAGGGAAGCACTCCCCACTCAAGTGCTGGCATTCTAAGATTTCCATGGAAATCTGAGGTGTTTACTAAGTCCCTGTCATTTGGCAGGAGTTGAATTCCAATTTCTGCCTCTCTCCTTGGTGAAAAGCAACTGAACATTCTGCCTAGGCTTTACATTCCACAAATGTTAGAGAAGTTTGTCTCATTCACCCTGTCCTTAGCATCTAAAATAGCAGGTTCTTAATGTTTATTGTCAAATTAATAAACTATGAAAGACTGAAAGAAACTTTTCTCAACAGGACAAGATACAAATCTGTTTTTCTTTTTCCTCTGGAAATTGTTCATTAATTCGATTATATTTTCTGAGTATCCACTACATTCCATATATTGTGTCATGAACTGTAAATTAAAGCATTAATAGAATCAACCATCTCTGCCCTTGCAGAATTTGAAATTTTAGCCAGGTTTCATCTGACATAATTTAGCTTATAGTAGATAGCTACTATTTAGGACCTATATTTGAATCCAGTTCCCTCACTGACTAGCTGAATGGCCAAGTGAAATAATCAACATGTTTACCCATCAGTAACATAAAAATACATCATGTGTTGTTATGGGAGTTATATGCAAGTACCTTGTACAAGATAAACACAGAATGATTGCTATTACTAAATTCATTATGAGACTAGCTCTCAGAAAATATCTAATCTTAAATTGGATATTTATTTATTTGATATTTAAATAATTGCACTGCATTATTTCACAGTCCTATTTGGCCTAGATTCACCATATAGTGCAATTCTATAGTGCTTGAACTTTAGAGTCAGATGCATTTTGAAATTCAGATTTTGTTTCAAAGTCTAGGAAATTAATATAGCATGTATGCCATATATTATATAACATTGAAGTACAGTCTGTGGCATGTCCTATCATTAAATATATTTTTAATTAATACAACTAATGTTCATATGTATGCAACACTGGACTATTCGCATGAAGTGGGAAAAGTGTAGACTATGAGTGGTCATAATCAATTGTTATTTCGATCAGGTTTTGACACTAAAGTTTTGGCACCATCTTAGGTGACAGCAGTTTTCAGTTTCTGGAGCTTTTCAGATTTGGAATTATGAATGAGGGATTACGGACATTATACAGGCACCCCTCAGGAGTAATTGAGAGAAGGAATTAAGCAGGATGTCTGGTAAGAGAAAGTAGCCTGAAAAATATATTTGAATAAACCTGTATTTACTAGGGGGTTAGATTTCCAAACTGGTTGCTTCTGGCAAACTTTAGTCTCCAAGGTTCACCCTTTTACTATCTGCATCTATATGGTTTGACATAGAGCTTTGCAGCAGGCTGATGCAAAAACAATATCAGATGACTTAATAAATGAATGTATTACCAATGCAAAAGAAAGTACAAGTTTGAAAACTATCTTTTTCAGAAACTTCACTATTAGCTTTCAACAATCCCTTCTTTCCACTTCACTTTCCAACTATCTCACATAATCAGTTAGTTTTTCACAAAAGTCTGTCAACAAATTTGCTACACACAGAAGCAGGGCAGTCTTAAGAATCTCTCACAGAGTGACTGAAAAGCATGCTGTACCATAGCGGACTGTAGTACGTAGTTTCTAACAAGCCAAACTACTGAAGCATCATGTAGAACTGTTTATAGAGTGCTTTTACTAGCCACTGTGAACTAAAGCCTGGTCTACTGAATGAGCAATATATGCTCAAAAAAATAAAAAGAATTGTTTTCCCTTGCTTCAGTCAAATTAAATGGGAACTTTGAAAAAGATATGTTCATACTGTGAATTTTCAACAACCTACACTTCTTTAAACCAGATACTTGTCAGGATAAAACCAAAGCAAGCACATTAATTTATACATTCATGCTATCATATAAAAGGTGTACCTGGGCTTTGGCTTTGATTCTGGTTTTACAGATTGTTGTTCTTTTTTCATAAAGTTTTTCTAGAAGAAAGAATAGACACAATTAGGAAAACAACTTCACTGTCAATAAAATTTTAATTCCATTGATGTTCTATTATATTAATCAAAGGGAGAAAGAACTTTAGTATTAATATTTAATACTAAATAATAAAGGCCTGATTATACTATATATTAAAAGCCTGAACAATGATATACATATGTATGTCTATCTGATCATGTTAAGTCGCTTCAGTCATGTCCAACTCTTTGCGACCCTATTCACTATAGCCCACCAGGTCCCCCTGCCTGTAGGATTTCCCTGGCAAGAATACTGGAGTGGGTTGCCAAGGCCTCCTCCAGAGGATCTTCTTCACCCAGGGATCGAACCTGCATCTTCTGCGTCTCCTGCATTGCAGGTGGAATCTTTACCACTGAGCCACTGTCGAAGCCCCAATTATGAGCCTAAAAATGTATATAAATAAGTGTACTCAGCAGCATATGATCATAGGACCTCCTCCAGCATCTTTTGGCTCCCAGGAATACAATTCTTATGGATTATTTAAGTGAACAAATACCTATAAAGATCTACTACAGATAAGAATTTATTTATTTAGTTATTTGTCCTCCACTTATAAAAATATTAAAGCAGCTTCCAAAAATACAGTATGTATTAAAAAGACAAAAAAGAATATCAAGTTGAAAGGAAAATATAAATAGAAAAATAATTTCAAGTGTTTCTGATTTTGCTTAATGTGTTATACAGATTTCTCTCTCAAATTTCTAGCTATCAAAATATTGTGGTCTAAACTGTGTTCCCCTAAAATTCATATACCAAAGCCCTAATCCCGAGATGTGATTATATTTGGAGATAAGGCCTTTTAGGAGGTAATGAAGATTAAATGAGATCATAAGGGTGAGACCCTAATCCAGTAGGACTGGTGACCTGGTAACGGGAGGAGGGGCCACCTGGGCACTGCAAAGAAAAAGCCATGTGAGGACACAGCAAGAAGAAACCTATCAGTCAAGGAGAGAAGCCTCAGAAAAACCTCTTTAACTTCTACTGTTAACTTCCACTGAGTGAGCCACTCAGTCTGTAGCGGTTTATTATGGCAGGCCTGGCAGACTAAAACACAAAGTAGCAAAGAAAGCACAGTGGTTCTAACACTCACAGTGTCTATAAGAGAAGCACACTTATTTTCTGTAAATTTTTTTTCCATTAGATAAACTTTTCCATTAGACTAACTTTGAAGATTAACTTTTCTTCTAAAATATCTTCCATGAGTACTTTAAAGGAAGCCTGGGATAATGGCATGGTCAGCTTCAAGAGCATCTCTTCAATAATGACACTAGAGTGTTTAATACAGATCTTTTATATAATCCTTCAATACCAGTCAACAGTTGAAAGAACAACTCAGACAGATGATTTTTCAAGACCTTAAAGTAACTGGGCCATTCATTCCCTTTCTGGCCATTAGGTGTAATCCAAAGCTTAAACTGATACCTAGAGGTATTGCATACCCAATTTATAATCTGCTATGTCAACTATTTTCCCCAAAATAGCTTTTGAAATGATGGCCTTGAATGAGGGGAATTTGAGGTAATCTTGTTAATGAGTAAAGATGAATGGATTTTGGATTGCTGGTGTTGTCTTCCCTCTCAGGCTCTAGAAGAAGTCAGTACCAGAAAGAGTCTTGGCTATAGATGTGTTTCTGATACCACAAGGAAAATATTTATTTTAGTTTTGCTTTTAAAGTTTCAAGTATATATATTTCACCACTGTTTGGCAACTGGAGTCAAAGAAGTCTCTTGTATAAAATCTCAGGATATATAAAGAGTAAATGTAAACATGAAATATGGAGGAAATTTGTATTTGTATTGCAATTGCACTCAGTTTTAAGACACAGAGTGATTATTTTAAATATATTAAACAAATCATAAACCTCTCCTTTGTAATCGAGCTTCACTCTATCCTATAGTGAGTATTCTCCTGCATGCAGTCTGACTTGTATGTGTAAATTTTTATTTCATGCTATTCATTTTTTAAGGTTGAAGATTAAGTTTTCTTCTATAGTTACGTTAGAATACAATAATAACCTTGAGAAGCACTTTGTATCATTTCTTGACTACTTGTTAATTTTAGAACTCCCTGATCATGTTTTCTATTTCAAAGCAAAAAATCATCCTCAAAAGTAATACTGTACTTTTAAAAATGTATGTGCACATATAGGTGATAATAAAACATGAAACAGGACCTATATTTTAAAAACCACCCTCAAGATGTTCCACGACACATATTCATGGCTAGAAAAATACTCATGGCTATACAAATTATTTTTTAACCTATATATTCCATACTTTTGCACAAAACAAAGTGCTTGGCTTGAAACACACTGTCCTTATAAGATACTACTATTTAAACTTGCCAACTTGATTTTTTTAACTGCCTCCTTCTCTGGCCATATGACATACTCTCCATTATGAAGGGTGTCAGATATGAAGGTCATTCAGCAAAGCAACCAGACAGCCATTCTTTTTTTAAAATGGTGGTTGTAAGACACAGACTAAAAGGCAGCCACCCCAACTTCAGGATTTTTTAAATTTATTTATTTGTCTGTTCTGGGTCCTAGTTATGTATGCAGGATCTTTATTAGCGGCAGGCAAATTCCCAGTTGCAGCATGTGGGACCTAGTTCCCTGATCAGGGATCAAATCTGGGCCCCCTGCATGGGAGTGTGGAGTCTTGGCCACTGGACCACCAGGGAAGTCCCTCAGACAAACAGTCTTGAGGATTTTTCTTACTAAAATGTTCTCTGATTTTTTTCCAGTGACATCTGTTCTTTCTTTTTCTTCCAACTTAACATAATTAGAACCCGAGGGGCTTGGGGTCATCTTTTTGCAAAGTCAATAGCAGTCCTTTATTTAAGGGTTCTTGGTTTTTTACCTAAGTCTTAGTTTTCTCCATACCTACATATTAAAATTGCAAATCCATTCTGCCTTGATGTTTCTATTCCATTCTCTCCCAAAATGTTTCCTCTTGCCACAGCTGCCACCTGCTTCTCAAGACCTCCTCACGGTCCTAGTCTCTTCATGGCAATGCATTTCAAGCGACACATTCTAAATACTTGGTTGAAGATGTAAGTCACTTATTAAACACTCATGTCAAATTCCCAATGTTTTTAACAATCTGTGTAGATTTATTTCAAACCTTTTTTCAGACTCCTTTCCCACATATTTTCTCAAATCCCACAATTTAACTGGCACCAACTTGTGATAATTCACATAATATTATTACATCTCAAACTTCCTTTCAGAAGCAGCTGTCTAATCTACCAATTCCCATTTCTTTCCAAATCTCATCTGGAATTTATGTTTTCCTTTTGACAATGCCACTAATTTCTCTCACAGTTTAATGATTAAATTGTTGCACTGATTAACTAGAGATGAAATACGGAATAAAAGCCTTTCATTTTGCACCTTCACGCTAACCATGTTTCTATGTTACTACTATTAGCGTCAAATTCTGCAATATGTTTGCAGTATAAAGGTAATCTATAATTAGCGCATTATGCCTCCAACACTTTACCCTAAAATGTAGTTAAAGGGTATTTTCTAAGTAGCAAGAAATTTTCATAGTTTAAACAGCTTTGTGACCCTACCAGAAGCATATATAAACACACATTTAAGGTAAATGAAATGTTTGTTTAAAAATAGGTAACTGTGAACAGAAAACCACTAATAGCATATACATGTAAAATTACAAATTACACATTAAAACATGTGAAGTAAACTGAAAAGCTTTTTCTGCCAAGCTTGAATATAAACATCCATGTTTCCCCAGCAGAAGTCAGTCATGTCACCAGCACATTCTGTGAAATAGCAGTGAGTTGCATTCCTTATAGTGCTACTGCTTCCTGATAAGAAATATTTTAAAAAAGAAAACTGTCAATAAGTTGCACACATGCAGAACCAGAAGGCACAAAACACATGATTTTGGAATTTTTCACAAGTCATTTTCTTTACATTGTTGTATTTTAGCATTTCTAAGAACACACAGAATGAACAGGAAGGTTTTCAAGCCAGAGAAACACCCCCAGGAAGTTGCCATAGGCCCAGGTAACCCCTAGTCTCTCCAAATCTTCTCATAGAGCCATAGAAGCCTCCACTTTGAAGGCATTCTCAAGTGTGGTGTCTTCTTTACTTTCCATATGAGAAGTCAGGGGAATGCCACAAGGAATACTGGTCACTTGGTAATAGCCAAGGCCTCAAAAAGTCATTCAACTTTCAGATGAGGAAAGACTGAAGAAGGCGGCCCAACGAAACATAGGTTGGTCCTTTACCAATCACTAGACAAAATTTCTTTAATCTCCAAGGGAAATCAAGACTCCTTGACATGTAGGACTTTAAGGATAACATGGTAGCAATACAAAGATGGGTAAGAAAGACGGATAGAGAAGTTTATATCCCAATATAAGTCCCTCTGAGGGGTGACAACTTATTTGTAAAAGATAAAATAAGGCCGTTCTTTCTGGAAGAATGTTCACAGCAACAAATCAGAGAATAATACTATAATACATTCTAAAAATAAAAATAAAAGATATTTTAAATGCATAGCTGAGATGAAGGGGAAGTAATGGAATTGCTCTCTGGTCAAAAATAAGAAGAAATGTTGAATTTAGATTGCCGTGAGAAATAGCAATAACTTCAGATATGCAGATGACACCAACCTTATGGCAGAAAGTGAAGAGCTAAAGAGTCTCTTGATGAAAGTGAAAGAGGAGAGTGAAAAAGTTGGCTTAAAGCTCAACATTCAGAAAACTAAGATCATGGTATGAGATGGTTGGATGGCATCACCAACTCAATGGACATAAGTTTGAGCAAACTCCGGGAGTTGGTGATGGATAAGTAGGCCTGGCGTGCTGCAGTCCATGTGGTCACAAAGAGTAGGACATGACTGAGTGACTGAACTGAATAGAACTGAACTGACTCAATGGACATGAGTTTAAGCAAGCTCCAGGAGTTGGTGATGGACAGGGAAGCCTGGGG